ACCCCGCAGGTTTTGTCTTGCATGTTTGGCTGTATCCGTAGGGCTATAACGTGCCCTCTTCTGAGGACCAGAGGAAGTCTGTAAATACCAAAGTGAGATGAATAGTAACTTTATCCGATGCTAACGATAGAATTAAAGCTGCGTAGTGTTTGCTGTGGAACAACTTGAGTTAAGCTCTTCAATTTATTACACAATTACACATTTCTTCCCTAATTAGTTGAGCAGTTAATGATCTTGAGATAAACACTCCCTGCTGCAGGTCAGCTGCTGTTAGCATCTCACTGTATGGGGGGAAAACAATGGAAGCGTTTTGTCAGACAGGTCATTGTTAGAGTTACCACCTAATTTTGTTTTCAAAGTGGGAAAGGGAAAAAGAAAAAAAAAGAAAGAAAAGGAGAAAGTTTCTTGTCTTCTTCCTCAATGGCTTTCATTCTAGCAGGCCAGCTAACTACTGTTGTTAGGTTGTTAATACAAAAAGCACATGAAAAGAAAATAAAAAGAAAATACTAGAAACGTATGTTAAATCTGAGAATGTGCTGAAAAAAATAATATGGAATAATAATTTAAAGTCAATGGCAATATTTTTTGTTGCAGCTTTGCAAAGCAAATTCAAATCTAAAACTAGTGCTTGCACATCAAGATTGTTTCTTATTAAAGTATGAAATGATTATAAAAATATTTCTCCTAAACTTCTTTATATTTCTTATTTGAAGAAAATCAGGTTCCTTTCCCAAAGCGTCTTAAAGGAGTTCACACACCTGGACTGTTTCAATGATAAATTTACCCTTGGCAAGCCAGGTAGTTTAAAACGAAACTTTTGCCTAAAACTGGTTTTTCTTCCTTTCTGATAAAGACCCTTTTTTAAAGAGATAAGAGAAGTCCTCAGGAACAGAATTAATATAGAGAGAATTAGGTTCCAAAATTTGGCTTTAAAAAAAAAAAAAAAAAAAACCTTCTGTATAGACCCACGTTAAAGCAGGAATTAGCCGTGTCTAAGCTGATCAAGCCCTTGCTCCGTGGCGCAATTCCACCCGGAAAAGCAGGGTGCCCAGGAGTCTGCCGAAACTCTGAGCCAGGCTTGACTTCCCCTTGGAGTCATTTATCTTCCTTCCCAAGCATCGGAGCTTTCCACTCGCCCGTTAGCCAAGTTAATACTTTATACACGGAGCACGAGAAGAGCCAGCACTAGCTCCCACTTCTCCCCTTTACCACCAATTAGAAATAACACAGACGTCCCTTCGGGAGTTTCGACACCATTTTTCTGCTCCGGGAGAGGCTCCCGGGAGGTTGCCAATGACGGCGCTGTCGTTTAAAGGCAAAAGCAGCGGGACAGCAGCGCCCGAGGCAAAGCGCCCCGGTTAAGCCCTGGGGCGGCTCACGGGAGCTGCCAGCCTTCGCAGGCTTCGCCTTCGGCCTCGGCGAGGGGTCCCC